GGTCCTCACCTTGTGACTACTTGAACATGGAGAATTGGTTTCGGAGTTTAAGATGACAACTACATCTAATTTTAGAAGCTCCCAGTTTTGTATATAACAGAAGAATTAACTGCTCCTATGAGATCGTTAACTTCCTTTGGGAGGTTGGATTGTATGCCTTTGTTGTGGTAGAAAACAATGTTTCAAATAACTGTATCATTAGTGTTAGTGTGTGCGTATGGTTCTGTGCGCCCGAAACCCCTAAACAGACATTTTAATGACATTTTGTGTTCTTTTTTAAACGGCCTGGGATCAGGGAGTGACTATGTTATGTATGCAGCGCTATATTCATGATGGACGGTGATCAAATTTATGTTTATTTTATATACAAATTTATAAATAAACCTAATATTAGATATGTATTTATAAAAAAATCCAAGCACTATTTAAACATAGAAACACACCCAAAATCAACCCCAAAGTCAACTTTTTGGGTGTGTTTATATGTTTCAATAGTGCTTGGGTTTTTTTATAATTTCAACCTCCATTTTGGGTGTTTTAGTGAAACTCCCTATTTTATAACAAGGGGTGAAAAGTAGCCTAAAATAAAATCCGTGTTTTCCTGCAGTGTTTGTTGCCTGAAGCAAATAGTTAGTTTCAAATTGTTTGGCAGTGCCAATTTCATCTGCACTGTGCAAGTGTGGGCGGACACAAACACATACGCGCATTCTCTGTGTTTTTTTTTTGGCGTCGAAAACAGAAACACATTCTCTTATAAACTCAACCATTGTTTTGTTTTGTTTTTTCAAACGTTTTTGAATAGATTGTTTGACGTTTGAATCTTACTTGTGGTTCTTCAGGCCGTTTTCTTCGGTTCCCCTTGGTCTCTGAAAGAGTCTAGAAAAGTGGTAGTTAGAGACCCAATGTGGAGACCAGCATTGTAATTTGTTTATCTTTAATCCTTGTTTCAAGTTTGAATAGGAAAGGATTTTTGTTCCGAACCACCTCTGAGCTCAAAGTTCGTTTTTTCCCCTTTCTTCTTATTCTTATTTCCTTTTGTTTTTTCAGAAGGTATGTACACAAATGTTTGATTTCTTGAATTTTATAATGGACATTGCTTCCTTCCTAGACATTTATACTTCCTTCAAATCATAATTTGATACATATACAAAAATAATTTATTAAAAACACACAAAAAAATAAAAAATAAAAAATAAAATTCTCTACAGATATGTCAACAACCACATCATTGAGATGGAATCTGCCACTGCCATTATTGCAAAAGCCCACTCTCAAAGAAAGGAATTCTGCTCCAAATACACTTGCTAATTAGGGTTATGACTTAGCTTTGAGAGGTTGCATTCTCGATGAGACTCCTACAAGGATGGGAAATATCCTTCTTGATGATCTGTTGGGGATTGCTAGACCCGCTTGATTCTTGGTGTTTAGCTTTACTTGTTGTTTGGGGCGTTTAGCCCCCTTCTATCACCAAAAAAATTACAAAAAATTAAAAATTCTACACACATGTCAAACTGTAATTGGTAAGAAAGTAAGAGTTCCTACTTTCAGGGAACGAGGCAAGTATTTTCCTTTAAAAGTATAAACTAAGGGACATGTTATTGGCACCCTAAAAACAATAATCATTCCCTCCTCCCTTACAAAAACATAAGAGAGAAATTACACCTAAATAAGTGCATAATAATTTTTTTGGAGTGGCCATAATAGTTCTTTAAATTAAAATGTACAAGTGATATTGGGAGAAATGAAATTAAACCTAAGACTTCATGTACATAGTAAATATTATTAACCACTTGAGCTACAAATCTCTTGCGCTATTCTTTTCAATTAGACACCTCAAATTTTCTACAGTTTGGGTCCCCCCATGTTGTCAGTCAAAGATCTGCAAGGTTTCCTGGCAGGTTCCATTTGGTGTTTGAGTTTCTTTTCATCTTTGGCCATTTGAAACTTTCAATCTTTCACGTGTGCAAGCTTGATATTGATAAAATCCCGTTTTGCATTACCAAGCTTCAAGAAAACAAATCATCTTCCGAGCATAAGATCATATAAGATCTGATTCCAACCATTAAAGGGTATTTTATGAATAACGATGGGTGGAAAGATATGATTGTGTTTTTTCAAATTTACATGGTGGGTGGGTAAATAGGGCAGATGGTGTAAATAGCAGCTCTCAATTATACCCATGTCACGTTAGCAATTTAACGATGTTAGAGCATGGGGCTTCCCCCGGGCACACGCCCCCCCCCCCCCCCCCCCCCCAACCCAAAAAGTGAAGTTTAGACCTCAGCGCGCAAAAGGCAGCCCAGGCAAGCCCATAGACAAAAATGGACTGGGCTGTTGCCCTCAGGCTGCTAACGTCAACGCCTAATTTTCAAATTTTTTTTAATTGTTGGCGAGTGGAATACATGCACCAATAGTAAAAAAAAAATTAAAAATCAGTTGCGGATGTCAGTGCTAACCCACCAGCCCACATAGCCTAACGGCTATAAGCCATGTGGCTTCCCCTGGAGCCTTCGATCAAAAAATCTTGTCCAATCCAACGATTGTCCAATTTTTGGCTAAAATAATTTTTTTTAAAAAAAAAAATAAGGAAATTTTTTCTATAAACACCTACCAATATTATTCACTTTCCACACCAAATCTTCATACAAATTCTCTTCCATCGAAGCCGGAGAGTCGTGGACAAACGTTCGAAGAGGTCAAAATCTTGGCGACGAGGTAAAAAAAAATTAATTGTAGTTTTATTCAATTTAATGTCATTATATATATATATATATTTCTTGCATTTCCAATTTCATTTTTCTAAATAGATTATTCAAGGGAAAACAAAAAAGAGGAAAACCATTACACATGGCTCCTCAAGTGAACAATACCCGCAGTCGGTTTCAGTGGTGCGTTTCGTGTCGGAAATAATGGCACTATTGCTTCCTCCGAAGGAAAATACTTCCCCACGTCGTGATCCGATGGAACCACCTCCACCAATGATTGAGTTGTCCATGTACTCCATTGTGTCAGACTTTGAGGACCGGGAGTATTTCAATTGTATGATGAGTGAGTAGGTATTTCAATTGTATGATGAGTAAGACATGAATTTTATAATAAATATGAACACGTGGCAAACAAAAATCTTATCCGAAAATTTTATTTGAAAATTTTATCAATAAATGTTATCTGAATTTTTAGGTGAGAATTTTATAATAAATATTGACACGTGGCAATCGAAAATCTTATTCAAAAAGTTTATTAAAATTAATGGTTTAAGTATAAAACAATAGAAAATAAAGTAAAGTGAATAGTGTTTGCCCTTGCTCTTACCCTTTGGGGTGAAACCAAAAAAGGTAAGGCTGCCACTATTCACATGAATAGTGACAAACATTGCCTTGCCTTTGCCTTAGAGCATTTCCATCAGTTAGCCCATTGCCATGGCAAGGGGAGCCCTAGGGCAACTATTATTCACGTGAATAGTGGCTGCCCTACTCCCCCCAACAAAGTATGTTTCTAGCAGTTTAGGCTTGCCATGACAAATACTATTCATTTTTTTTGTTTTTTTCACAACTTTGTTTACTTAAACAATTAATTTAAATAATATTTTCGGATAAGATTTTTGGGTTCCTATGTGTCAATACTATTTATATTGGATAATATTTTATTTTATTAGTTGTATTGGTTGTTATTTATAGAAAAAAAAAAGTATGAGGATTTGGTATTAAAAGTAAAGAGTATTGGTTGGTATTTATAAACACTGGCGGACCCAGAATTTTTTTAGCGGAGGTGCAATATTGGCTAAGTATGAAAAATGGTTTTTCGGAATAATAATTTTCTCAAGATAATTTTTGGCGGCTTTTATTCCTTTAACATCAAAGAAGTAAACTTGATTTTATGGTATTGACTTAATGAGCCATCATTTTTAGCCTAAATCATATTTTGCACTAAAATTGATTTTTCATATTTTGATTTGGTGGGAATTTGATTTTCTAGTATTTTTATTTGAATCTAAATGAGGGTTACTTCCTTATTTATATTATAAACTTAAGTAAATGAAGTAATATAAAAATAAAAGGACAAAGACATTTACTTAAATGTGGAAAATGGAAATAAGGTATAGAGAAAAAAAAAATCAGTAATTTTTTGGGTATTTTTTTAAATATTTTTTTTGGAAAAAAATTGGTTGCCGTTGGATACATGGAAAAAAGGAGATCGGAGAGCCCAAAGCCAGCCACATGGAAGAGAGCTGTTGGGGGGGCACTATAGCGGGCGCGTCAAATTTTTTTTAACATTGCACGCACTGGCGTTAAAAAAAATTAACTGAAACAGACGTCAGCTCATCGTTTTAAACGAAGTTTTACTATAACATTCCTTCAGTTTGGAACCAGTATGTAATTTATTCAATTATGGAATCATGAGAGGTTATCAAATATGTAGGGGGTGGTCGAATTTCTTCTTATCTTTTAGTGTATGTATCCTATGTATTAATTTTTTTTTATTATTTTTTAAATATTTCTAACTTTGAATTTTCTTGTTCTTGATTCCCATTCAGATAATAAGTTTCATAAACGGGTCTATTTTTATAGCGTGTCTCTTGTGAGAGGGACCGCAAGCAAATGGCATTATTAATACGGGCGCGGAAGGCTTTTTTTTGATTTAAAAATTTAAATTTATTCTAGAATTAAAAAAGATAATGGGTAGTTGTGTTTCATAAAAATAAGATCCATTATGTGATTTTTCTTTTAATTTAATTTTTTTTTAATATGAAAAAGTGTGAATTTACCATATTATCTTTATTTAATTAATAATTTCAATTCTTAATGTTTGCAATAACCAAGGACATATTCTGGTATTTTGAATGTTCCATTATTCTCTGTCTTTTGCTATATATACATATTATCATTAAACTGGTTAAGTTTCTTCTTTTAATCTGAGCCACAAAATTCATCCAACGGCTACTAAGGCCCTCCCCGCATCTATCCCTCCTCAACTTAACATCCCGCGCGTTAGAGAAAATCAGTACGACTAAAACCCTAACAAACCCATTTGTAGCATAAACCCTAAAACCCTCGTCCCCAATTTACTCGCAGAGCCCAAACCAAAATACTAACCCCTGAAATCTCAATTGTATAGAAGATTAAGTTTTGAATTTGAGAGTTTAGAAGCAATGACCATGGAGGTGGAACCAGAGGGGAAGAATGTGATGTGCCTTCTGACGGACCCAGAAGGGACGCCATTGGGAAATTCCGTGTACCTTCCCCAAAACACCGGCCCGCAACACCTTCAACAAATCGTCAATCAGCTTCTCAACAACGTATGCTCATTTTCAGCTCTTCTTTGTAAAATTTTGTCTCTTTAACTGCTTTTTTTGGTTGTTGAAAAATTCGGCTATATTGAATTTAATTTTTTGATTTAGTTAAAATTTCTGTATTACACCTTAGGTTCCATTTGAAGAAAACACTTCCCCTCAAACCTATAAAAATAAGAAAAAAAAGAGAACTATGACTTTTTTCTTCTTCTTCTTATTGTGAAGTTTTCGAATTCACCTGATTAAAGCTGTAGAATGTCAGTTAGTAATATAAATTACTAAGACAAATTGAAGAAATTTTTTTTTTTTTTTTGGAACTGATAGGATTGTAGCAGTTTTTGTTGCTTTTGTTGTTGTAAAGAACTTTTCTTTTAGAAGAAAATGTGACATAGACACATGCGTCATTTATAAGTGATGCAGGCATCCTCAAGAATTACAGTTCTATGGGTTCGTTTCGTATAATACAAAATATATTAGCAAGCAATGATTTATGGCAATTGTTGTGGATCCTGCTTCTTAGTGTGGTGGTTTTACATGCTCGCATAAGTAGTGACGTCTGCATTTTGTGTTTGTTCAGGAGGAGAAGCTGCCTTATGCTTTCTATATATCAGATCAGGAACTTCTTGAGTCACTTGGAAAATATTCGGAGAAGAATAAAAGTTAGTTAAATCATGACAGAAGTATCAGTTAACATTTCATCTTCCATAATTGTGTATATCTTAAACAATTTTGACAACTAAAGATTTTGGGCTGCTTTTTCATTTCATACACTTTTCTGATGAAAAACCTTGGCAGTTTCTGTTGAGAAGGTACTGAAAATAGTTTATCAACCACAAGCTATTTTCCGAATTCGTCCTGTTCATCGGTGCTCGGCAACAATTGCTGGTATGGGTGTTTCTCTCCTATCCATGTCACACTAAGGACGTATTTATTGCAAAATAGCACGGCTTTTTCTTTTTAAATACACTCCCTCTTACCCCCCACCTCCCAATTTTAGTTTGTAATTTTATGATTGTAATATTTTAACATTAATGGTTTCATTTTTTTGTCTTTCTTTTTCAAAAATTTTCTTTGGACAAGTGTTTGTGATATATGTTATTCTAATGTTCAGAGCTCTCTGAACCGAATAATTTTTTAGGCTTCATAATGGACCTGATTAATTGTTTTTTTGTGGTCAACCTTTCTCCGGATTGACTCACTAAATGCCAATTTTTGTTACTAATGTGCAGCTTGAATTTTATTTTGTTTATTATTGAATCAAAGCTATTGTTTTGTCATTGCAGGTCACAATGAAGCTGTACTTTCAGTTGCTTTTAGTCCTGATGGCCGACAGTTGGCGAGTGGTTCTGGTGATACCACTGTCCGACTATGGGACCTTGGTACTCAGACACCGTTGTTCACATGTACAGGTTTGGAGTCTGAGTTTCATATCACATTCCTAGTTTTGTACCTTTTGAACTTTTGTACAATATGAAAACTAATATAAGACAGCAGAAAAAATTTGTGTATCAAAATAAGAAAAAAGAAAAGGAAATTACATATAACTTTGGATATTTGAGAAAATATTTTCCGGGATTACTGTAGTGACTAGGGATGGATAATGTTTTTTTTTTAGCAGTATGGATAATGATTTATTTTTTATTTTTTAAGTAGGATGGATAATGAAATTAATTATTTTTATTTTAAGGTTTTGTCACATAGACCATATTAGATGGGGAATTTTACATCCTGTGGGTTCTTAGGGTGAAAGCAGACTTATGCTTGCTGTGGTGTGCTGCATAATAAGTGAGAATAAAGTTATTTCAACTTTTTGTCATTTTAAACTTTTTTCTTTGATGATTCACATTTAAAAATACTTTATTATAATGTAGAAATCATCCTCGTGGTTATTACCTTTCTATTATTTGCACAATGACAGTACACCTTATTTTATTCAGGACATAAGAATTGGGTCCTTTGCATTGCATGGTCACCTGATGGTAAACATCTTGTTAGTGGGAGTAAAGCCGGGGAACTCCAATGTTGGGATCCACAGACTGGAAAGCCATCAGGCAATCCGCTTATAGTAAAGTTTCTATACTTCAATCACTAGTCATTTTAAATTTCTCAGTTGATTGCTACATATTGTAATTTGTTGTTTCTGACACATATGAGGACACAACTCTTCTATTTTGTTGTTTTCGTGGATATTTGGTTGATGAAATATTATTCCATTAATTTTTTAGGGCCATAAGAAATGGATTACTGGAATCTCTTGGGAACCAGTCCACCTGAACTCTCCCTGTCGACGCTTTGTAAGTGCTAGCAAAGATGGTGATGCACGCATATGGGACGTTACATTGAGGAAATCTGTTATATGTCTTAGTGGCCACACACTTGCAGTGACGTGTGTAAAATGGGGGGGAGATGGTGTTATATATACAGGGTATGCTTTTTTCTTAGTTATTGCAACGATAATGAAACAAATTTTTTTATTTTTTTATTTTAATGAAAAAAGGAAATTGTTATGAGCACTCACTTGTCATTTCGACTTATGTTGAAATCTATTTACACCATATTCCCTTGTGTTGTAAGAAAACCCTCCAATTGGTTTTAATTCATGATCTCGTTACTTAGAAATGAAAGAGAAATAATCGGATGAGTCAATTGAACAGATTATTGAACTTGTTCATTTGAAAAGGATTCTCAGGTCAAGATTTCTGAGATAACAATACTACTAGCTTAGGTAGTTTTGAACACATTATTGAGCTGAAGTTCTCTACAGATTTATAACAAATATCTCCATCTTAACTGTCACAGGTCCCAGGATTGTACTATCAAAGTCTGGGAGACTACACAGGGGAAGCTAATTCGTGAACTTAAGGTAAGTAAGACACAGCTTTTGGTTCATGGTTAGTTCAGTTACTATGATTTATGCTTCATTACTTGGTCGCTTTTGTAAATATGCAATTTTGTTATTGTGAATACCTAATTTATTTTCCTCTCCAGGCAGTGGTTTGGTGTAGTCTCATGTCAATAGAATTCTTTCCATACCCTTTAAGTTATTTCTCTATGCTTTATGTTGATCTCGAGATTTGTTGATTTGATTTGGTTCTCGTATTAGATATTGCTGAGTGCTTAACTGAATTCTAGAGGTTTTCTTGAGGATTTCAATAATAATATATTTCCCTCTCTTCTTTCAGACCTTGTTTCATGAATTTCTTATATAATGAACTGTTGTCTGTGTCCTGTCTGTATTAGCTATTGTCTATCTTTTTATTTATTAATATTCAAATTTCGAATACTAAATCATGATTTTGTAATTTAGTTATTCTGTTATTTGTTTGTTTCCTATTGTTTTTAATCAATATGATCAGAAATATGCTTATCTCGTGTAATTTAGTATGGCATGTCTATGGTTTGTTGGTTGTGTTAGATAAGTGCTTCTTGATTGAAGTCTAGTGATTTTTTTTTTGAGGATTTCAATTATAATCTTTTCCCTCCCGTCTTTCAGACCTTATTTTATGATGGTTTATAGGCTGTTATTCATGATGTTTCCTTTAAAGGTTTTCAGATTTCTTTTATAAGGAACTGTTGTGTGTGTCATGTCTGTGTTAGCTATTGTCTGTCTTTCTTAATAATAATTCAAGCTTCGAATTCTAGATCATGATTTTGTAATTCATTGTTCTGTTGTTTTTCTTTTTAATCAGTTATGGTCAGAGATATGCTTATCTTGTCTAATTTAATACTCCTTGTCAATGGCGCTTGTTGAAATTAATTTGTTGATGCTCATGTATCTTGTTTATCAATATTTTACATTTCATGATCTTGATATCTTTATATTATACGGTTTAGGGTCATGGTCATTGGGTTAACTCTCTTGCATTGAGTACTGAATATGTTCTTCGTACTGGAGCCTTTGATCACACCTGCAAGCAATATTCATCTCCAGAGGAAATTAAGAAGGTATGAATTCCTTCACAACCATTACATTTTGTTTTTAAATTGTAATTCATTTTATGTGCATCAATGCCATCCAATTTTTGTTGTGCCTACTGTAGTTCCCTTTTTTTTTGTTTAATTGGGGGGCGGCGGGGTGTGTTTGGGTGAGTGTTATTTGCTGTTGAGGGAAAGGCTTCAGGTTTGGTTGTCTAGATCATATCTGTTCGTTTTTGTAATGCAGATAGTGTATTGTTGTATCTGGTGGTGTTTGGTTTCTTCGAGTCTTATCTTGAGTATAGTTTTTTAAAAATGTTTTCTTTTGATCTCCATTGTTTCATTCTTCTTTAATTGGGAACTGCAAATTCTTGACCTTCGATTGAAGAGTTGTTAAGCTGGAATAGCAGTGTTGAAGAAGTGTGTATTGTGGATTTTTAAGATGCTGATTCTTTCAGAACTCACTAAGCTTGAATAAAGTTTTCTTTTTATGCTTTTATTTTGCATGCTTGTAATTACTTTGGGTGCCACACATCCGTGTTGTGATTAAGTTACAGTTAGCTGGCTAAGAGGAAAATGTCTCCTGATATGATTATCTATCTGTCTATCTATCTATCTATCTCTCTCCCTCTCTTTCTCTCCCCGCTACTTTACCCAACTGTTTGTATTGTTTTGTGACAATAGTTTAGCGGCTATTTCTGGGAAGATTTACCTGCATAACATTTTTCCTCTTTTTCCCCTCCAAGGAACTAATTATATTTTCATTTACTGACATATAGGTAGCCTTGGAAAGGTATAACAAAATGAAAGGCAATGCCCCTGAAAGATTGGTTTCTGGATCTGATGATTTTACAATGTTTCTATGGGAACCCTTTGTCAGCAAACACCCGAAAACTCGCATGACAGGTCATCAACAGGTAAAATAATTTTTGTAATGCCATGTTCCGTTTTGAATTGCAGTCCAAGTTGTTGATCATTGTTTTTGAGGCGCAGGATTATCGTAGTTTTCCAACTTGTGTTCTTCTGTATCAGTGTGTACTTATAAGTTATGGCTTAAAATAACAATTGCAACTAAAATTTCCTACGTTGCTCCCTTTCTCTTTCTTTCTTTTTCGCTCTCTCTCTCTCTCTCTCTCTCTCTCTCTCTATATATATATATGTATATGTATATATTTGTCTGTGTATCTATCGTTGTGAGTGAATGCAATGTTTATAAATAAATAAAAACATTTTGGCTGACTTCACACAAAAAAATATTTCTATTTTTCAGAATAAGGTAGTTACCCTTTTGCGTTGTGCAGTGTAATTGTTTGGTTGGAAGATTAATTGGTCAAGTCTTGATGAGATGGAGGAAGCAAATTTTCTTTTGGGGCAAGTACATGTTTAGCTTCTGTTTGGGTGTTCTCGTCACAGAATTTTAGGGATATTTTATTTAGAATAAAAGTTAGTTTTCTGAAAATAATTGTGGGAGCTGTTTGGTTACTTTGGTAGCATGTTTTCACACAGTTTTCTGTTTTCCATGATTTTAGAACCCAAAACTGTTTTCAAAATGAGGAGCCAAAATGCCATTTTTTAATTTCTCACCGCTTTTCGCTGCCACTTATACTATGTCATGCCAATCAGCAGAAGATGTTGATTCCATCTGTTATACTGAGTCTAGTTTGGGTGCAATTCTTAGCCTAATCTTTTATTTCACACTAGATGAACTGATCTCCAATTTTCAGATGGCAGCTTGTTTTAATAATATGCATGATTTATCTTCATGGCAGTACCGGTTTTGAACATAGAACTCTGATTAGTGCTTGCTCTTTATGGTTACCGGTTACTCATTTACAATAAGGAGGATATATATAAATAGAGTTCTGGTGTTTGTTCTTTATGTGCTCTCATGTTCATGTTTATGATAAGATGATAGTTGAAGCCAGCATATGAAGTTCCAATTTTTATCATTTAAGCTTTATAATGGATGTTTGAAAATGTTTTTTGCCAACAGCTTGTAAACCACGTTTACTTTTCACCTGATGGGCAATGGATAGCAAGTGCCTCATTTGATAGGTCTGTCAAGTTATGGAATGGTACTACAGGAAAATTTGTTGCAGCTTTTCGGGGCCATGTTGGCCCTGTCTACCAGATCAGGTCTGAATTGGAATTATTATTTTTTGGATGATTGCTTATGTTGTGTGGCTAATTATTACATTGCATGTTACCTCACAGCTGGTCCGCAGACAGCAGGCTACTTTTAAGTGGCAGCAAAGATTCCACTCTGAAGGTAAAACATTTGCTCAAAATGAACTTTTTTATTTTATTTTATAGCGGTGATAAGGGATCTTGACCGAAGGAGTGAGGTTGTTAGATTTCACATTGCAAATGGGGAAAATAATTGAAATGCCATTTGTTTGCATTTTGATAGTTGTATATGTCACCAAAAGAATCATCTCAAATCTTACTAGTGGTTTAAATCTCAGTTTGTATGTAAGCTATATGAGTTTTCATCTGCATGACATCTAAGTAATTTAAGCTTGTATATCAAGCCTAATATTGTTTCATACATCGGACAAATAAAGTATTGTTTTTTTAATTTCCCTATAGTCACTTTGCCATTCTAAGGCGGATTTCTTAGCTTTGACCAGGTATTTTGTGGTTATGTACATGGTCATGACGTAAACATTATTGGCAACCTTGATCTTTATTTTCAATTCCCTGATTATTGAATTTTTCATCAAAATATGAACTCCCAGCTTTTGGGAAACTAAATTCAGATTCCCCTTTTTTTTTTTTTTTTTTTTTTTTTTCCGTTTTATTGTGTACTTTGCTTGGGGTACCACGCGCTTTTGCTAATGGTAGAATTTCTCGTGGTTGCATCCCCGACCTGTGAATGAAATTTATTTGATCATCTAGGTTTGGGATATCAGGACACGGAAATTAAAACAAGACCTTCCAGGACATGCAGATGAGGTATGTTTTCCCTTCACCTCAAAGGCAGTTGATCTGTTGTTTTACATTTATTGAAGAATGCTTGGGGGAGAATTGTGACGTAGACATATAAGAAAATACCAAAACAGATACCAGTTACAAACTACAGGGAGATGTCAACTAAATCAATTGACGTATTCCTCACATAAAGCAAATGCTAAAGGACTTACGCAAGTCTTCTATTTCTACTCAAACGTGTTTTAGATATTGCATGAATTAGATTACCCCGTGCATACCTGAAAGGCCTGCACTTGTAAACCAGTCTTGCTTTACCTGTCTTGAATATTCACAAAACTATTCACAAAACTCGATAGAAGTAGACACTAGTTCAGCTACTTTGAGGGAACCTAAGTCCTCCAGATTTCTCTCTGATGACCCTTATTATTCATTCAACTTCTTATATAAGGGCATAACAGTTAATTCCACAAATTTATGAAGACAAACAAAATAGATATCCATATCCAAACTTTAGACTATTACTAAATCAATAGACCTTCACTCTAGGCAACGGTTGTACAATTTTTGGATTCTTCTATTTCTAGTTTTTGAGGGAACCTTTGTCTTGCCGTATTGTAACCTATTTTTGAAATGTGAATTGTTTTTGAAAGGTTTATGCTGTTGATTGGAGTCCAGATGGTGAGAAGGTAGTTTCTGGTGGCAAGGATAGAGTTTTGAAGTTATGGATGGGCTAGACTAATTGTGGTAGGCCGAAGTATGAGCAACTACATAATGAAAATGTTACATGATGGTGATAATTGAGCATTGAAGTGTTTGGTATGATATACATACAAGTATACTGCACAACTAAGGGATATGAACAAGAATTGGGAATTCAAGTATCGGTCACAAGGGTGGTTGAAAGAAAAAGCTCCTGAATCAGCATAAAAGTTTTTTATCCATTGGGGTGTAAGCTTTTCTGCGAGCTGTCTGAGGTGGAATAGCGAGGCAGCCAATTTATGAGTGTGAGTTAACTTTTCTTATTTAGAGTCGCGCCGTGAAGTTTTGTTTTGTTCTTTTTTACTTTTATTCATTTTCCTGGTCAAATACATTATGTCAATTTTTAGTTGGTAATCAGGAAATATATCCCTGCAACAGATTTCCGCATTTCTTAGCTAAAACAATCCCATTGATGATTGTCATGCCGAATGTGAGGCCGGCTTTTGTTGAAATATTTATGCAAATGAACACATGAATGGTTTTGCACGTTGGCTTGGGGGTTTCAGAACTTGGACCAAACCCTGTAAAACAGAAATGGAAGTATTATCTCCATCTTGTATGAATTGAACTGGTCAGTCGTCCCTCGTGTTGCAATGCTCGTCGTAAATTTTAGATGTTTTGTTGGAAATTGGAGCTGTTTTTTGTCATCTCCATTCTGGGCCCTACACCACAATTTTAATGACGCTGGAAAACCTATAATTGGCTGAAAACTGTGAGCTCTTTATACCTTCTAAAATGAGTAGCGATGACAATGTAAAGCTATTATAGGATAATAAAAATGTTGGGGTACTTGCTACTTCGGCCCCATAGGGAAAG